CCATTTGGCCTTGCCACTTCTACCAACAAGACACTCATACATATATTTTTGAAGTTTGAACTTAAATTTTAGCCATATTCTGTGTCATAAGCAATCAGTATGCACCCTGCCAACCTGATCTCCAATGCAACTGTGTAAAACTTAGTACCAGAGGATTTGCTTCTTCTTTTCTATAGGGAGGGTCCATTCCCCACCCCACCCTGCTTTGAAAAAATATATTAAAAAATTAAAAATCCCAGTAACCTCTACATTGTGGAGGTGGCCCACTCCAAACTCCATTTGAGTGTTCATCAGACGTGCAGTAAATAGTATCTGAGCCGATGAGGGAGAAGGGATCTGAGCCTGCTGGAACATCATCACATGAGTAGCTCACTGGAGTCTGATACACGTAGTTGGCTGGTTCCGTGTGGTGCCCGTTGGCAATGCTGGGAGGGGGATCACAGGGAATCACTGGAAACCAAGCACACAACTCACTCAGAAAGAACATTGGTGTGTCAGCTTATTCACCTCAGAAACAGCAAGCCCTGATTTCCAAGGAATTTCACTTAAAATCTGACATAGCTGCTCTAAGGCAAGCTGCAGTTTTGGCTGAGAATCTCAGTTTCAACATGAGGTTGAATTTGATGTGAGATAATTACCACCATAACTGGTATTTTTCAGCAGTCATCCTTCAGGCACATCCCAAAAAGTTACCAAAAAAACCCCAAAACAGTCCTATTTTACCATCATTTCTTAGACTGGAAGGTTTATAGCACAGCTGTTTTTAAATGAATTACCACAAATGAAGCACAGCAGTGATTTACTCACCTTCACAGAAAGGCATCTGACGATCCCAGTCAACACCTTCATTTGTAATTACACAGGTAACCTTCTGATTTCCAAATAATCTGTATCTAGAGAGGTAAACATTTTTAAAGAGGTTAAACTCAAATCTCTCATTTCTCCAACAAGCACCTAAATAACTGGTTTATACAATTCTGTTCTGTGCTTATGGGGACATAACACACCAAGGTTTTGTTGTAATGAGAAAAGTAACCTCATTTGTTTATTTTGCTAACGGTCTCACTTTGAAAACAAAACAGAAGCAAAGGAGACATCACTAAAGAAACTGATGGAAGTCACATTTTAAGCTGTGACACTAATTCCCTGAAGTTACTAATACTAAAGGAAAGAGAGGAAAAACATTGGAGAGTTTAGTACTCCTGGCTTAATTTGCTAAACACAAACAAATGGGCCATTGCTCAAAATAACAATGAAGGGTGATGAATATATATTTATTCCCCCTGCCACAGGAACACTAGAAGAAAGTCATTAAGCTAAAAGTTGATGCAAACAGCACTTTAACCACAGAATCAAGTTAAATTTAGCTCCAAGTTCATGTGCTCCAGGTAGAATTCAGATTTCAAATCAGAACTGGAATGGAACCTGCATAGAAAATTTGGGTTTGGTTCAGATCTGGTGTAAACATACCAAAAAAAAAAAAAAAGGATTCATTAACTTCACCAAAATACTTACCCTTCTTGACAAGAAAAAGTAGCAGTTGAACCAAATGTAAGATCTGTCACATCAACAAAACCATGTGCTAATTCTCCTGGGTGCTTACATCTTCTCTCTGGGAGAGTGGGGGGGAAAAAAGAAAGGAAAAATCTATACCCCTAATTATATATACAAAGTCTTTGGCATATATTGCCCTTACCAACATCAGCGTTTTCCAAGTGTTGTTTAAAACATTGCAAAATACTAACTCTAACTTGCAAAACAAATAAAGTTGTTAAATATCAAAGGGAAAAAGCAAAAGGGTACAAAAAAAGCACACATTTACCTATACAGAACTGCTCTTTGGGTGACCACTGTAAGTCAGGACCACATGTAAGAGTTAAGGATTTTCCAGGGCTTCTCATATATCCGGGTCGGCAGACGAAGGAGACTTGACTTCCAACAGAAAAACTCTGTATTCCTCTGAACTTCTCCTCCAGCTCTGCATAATGCAGCCTGGCTGGAGGACCACAGGCATCTGGGAGAGGAAGGAAAAGGGAATACACAACCTTAGCAACAAGAGAAACACACCGAGGTGTAACAGCACAGAAGCCCGGGTAATTCCAGGGGTTTTAAGGATTTACTGGTAAATCCAAGAGGTGACGTTCTTAAGAGCCGGAGATATTTTTATATTTAACTAGTTTTCAAATTTTAATTTAGATTTTAGTTGCATCCAAATATTCAACTCTGTACTAGTACTTACTGTTTTCCCAAGTCCTTCAGCATTCTACCCAAACAATGCATTTCCTTCCAGATCTTACTTTTTGTCTGCCTTTTTTTTTCTTTGAAGTTAAATACACAACTTAACTCACTGTAAACCCATCGGCAGTGAAATGCTTATTTAGCTTGCTGCAGGAAAAACAAACCAGTCAGCCCCACTCAAATAGCTGATAGTGAAAATATGTTATGAAAATATGTCATGTAGTTTTCACAGGAAAAAGGAGAGCAAGTCTAAAGAGCATAAAGCAGAGTTTAAAAATCAGCTGCACAATCCAACAGAGACCTACAGACCCAGGGACATTCTGGGGTTGGTTAGAATCGCAAAATATCCTCAGTCAGAAGGGACCCACGAGGATCATTGAAGTCCAACTCCTAAAGCTGAAGAAATTAAACTCCTCCACACGAAACGACTCAAAGAAACGCATTCAAGACCCTCTGTATGAATCACCAGACTATATGAATGTGCAAGACTTAAACACAGAGGCCAGCACCTCTTTGACACCTATCAACCTTTCCCGATCTATTTCTATTATTGTTTAGAAATTGGCCAAAGCAGATAAGAGATTTACCAAACCTCGAGCTCAGCGTCCCATTAACACCAAACGTTTCTGCAGCACCACCTTCCCCTCACCTTTTTAGTACCTGAAAGGGGCTCCAAGAGAGCTGGAGAGGGATTGTTTACAGTGGTATGGAGTGACAGGACGAGAAGGAATGGCCTCGAACTGACAGAGAGCAGGTTTAGATTGGATATTAGGGACAAATCCTTCCCTGTGAGGGTGGGGAGGCCCTGGCACAGGTTGCCCAGAGAAGCTGGGGCTGCCCCATCCCTGGAAGTGTCCGAGGCCAGGCTGGACGGGGCTTGGAGCCACCTGGGCTAGTAGAAGGTGTCCCTGCCCGTGGCAGGAGGTGGAACGGGATGATCTTTGTAAGGTCCCTTCCCACGCAAACCCTTCGACGATTCAACCCCCCCTCTCACAACACCGCCCAAAACCTCGTGGTTCCACCACCACCACCACCACCACCACCACCACCACCACCACCACCACCACCACAAGCCATTTCCTCCTCCCTCCCCGAGAAAACCTCTGGGTCTCCCTCGCCCCGCAGCACCGCCAGGGCCGGAGCGGGGAGGACACCGCGACCCCTCTGCCTCCTTCCCCCCTCCCCGGGGCGATGGCTCCGCGCCGCACCAACCCCTCAGCGCGCCCCTTTCCCCCCGAGCACCCGGCGGGCCGGGGGTGCAGAGACAACCCGCTCCTCACCCTGAGCCCGCGCTCCGCCGAGCCCCCACAGCACCAGAACCGGCAGCACCGGCAGCAGCGGCCGCCCCATGACGGCGGCGGGGCCGCGGCAGCGCCCGCTCCGCTCCCTCACAGCGGCCGAGACGCAGCGCGGGGCCGGGGCGCATGCGCGAGACCGCCCCACCCTCAGCGCCATGGCCGCGCCCGCCATTATCGCCCTCAGAGGAGGGCCCGTCCCCCGCCGTGCGGAGCAGCGGGAACCGCTCACTGCTTATTTATTTCACCCCAGCCCCGCTCATGGGCGGTGTTCGCCGGGTCCGGCACACCCCGCCGGGCTTTCCGCGCCGTTATTTGTGCGCGGAAATTCAGAGTCGCTTCCATAGTGCAGCCCCGCCGTAGTGATTACTTAGTAATTTCCACAGAAATTACGTAATGCCGTCCGGCCTCTCCGCATGCTCAGGTGAAGGGTCTGTTTGACCTGTGGCCTGATTTTTAGTATTAAAAGGCGTGGTTTTTAGTATGAAACGTAGTTCCTTGGAATTATGGACCTATATTCATGGACCGCAAGTATTTTGCCATGTTTACGTAGCGCACATCAACATCTCGATTTACTACACCCTTAAAGCTTGTTAGTTCCAGGATGTCCTTGACTAAGGGATGCAGCTTCTGCCTGTTCCACTTATTAGTTCTCCTTTCCTACTGATGAGACTTGAAAGGATATGAAGATCTTACATCAAAGAACGCCCCGACTTAAGATAATCTTGACATGCTCCAAATTCTGCAACACCCTCAGCACGTTACGTGTTGCAGAGCAGCATTAAAATAATAATAAATTTAAAAAAACCCCAAACCACGTACACACAAAAACACAAACCAAAACCCCCTTAAAATTCTAGATAGACCTAAAAAGAGACACAGAATTCTTGTCCAGGGTTCAGCTTTTATTATGTTAAGCATTTGTAGAGGAACACTGTGCATAAGCGTTGCTGAAAGGAAATACAGAGATGTGAATGCGGCTGTTATTAAGACATTAATTAACATGCTGTGACTCCCACCCCCGCGCAGGAACGCTTTATTGAGACTTGCTTATCCAGATTTTTTGGCTTTGCAGATGAAGTATTCTTGATCAGAAGCAGCACACAGAATTCCCTCTGGGGCAGCATCCGCACTGCGTGCAGCCTGAGCCTCATTAGATCCTTACAGTAATTAATGGGAGCAGAATGAGCATTAAAGATTTACAGTAAAGTGTCTTATTTTTGCCACAGAATTTCAGTCTCGAGTTGAGCAGCACTTCCATGTAGCTCTCGCTGTGGAGAACGAGCCAAGTCCCTGGTTAGCAGCTACACAGATGCCCAGCCTAGGAAAAAGATGACATGCTTGTGTTATAATTAGACTTTTCCTGTTTCCATACTGATGTCTAGGGATTACATTGTCACCCAGGGAGGGAGGAGAGAATTTCTGGGAAGTGCTTTGTTTCAAAGAAATGACCCAGAACCAAGCCTTTTTATAGTCAAAGCTGATTATGCTCAGAGTGCTGCTAACACTGAAAATTCACTCTTGGCTCCAACAGATTCACCATAGAAAGTAGATTCACCTGTCAGTAAAAATATCATTGTAGTAAGTGTAAAAGCAAGAAAAAAAAACCAAAAGCCCAGTTCAGTGTCTTTTTCTGACACTACTGCTGTTAAAGTAGTCTTTTAGAGAGCAAGCTCTCCCATAAACCATAAAAAAATCAAAAGCAGCTTTATATCAGAAGCAAGGACTAGTCTGGAAGTCTGACCTGTGAGCACTATCCATTCAGATTATAGAAAAGGAAAGACACGTTGAGGTTGGTGTCAGAAAGAAAAATAGGATGTTTAAAAAAAACCCCAGTATGTTTAAAACAGTCTCTTTTATTCTGCCAAAGAAAACATCTTACCAGAAGATTAAGGGGAAAGAGGTTTCTGCTTGAATGATTACATTAGAAAAATAGTCATTCAAGTAGACAATGTAGTCAACAATATAAACAAATAACCACATAATTATTGCAGCTATAACTGATATTTTATGTTGAGGATTATAAATCCATACCTTCTATGGCAAACATGATCTTTTCTGTTCAGTTACTGGGTTCAGAGAGGTTTGGTAATTGTAATTTTCATATGTACGATAATAGCTAAGTGAAAAAGAAGAAAACAATGAACTGTGTTGCTTTGTAAGGGAACACTCAGGTTGGTCTCCTTTAAGGAAGAGATAAAATGACATAATCACACCATCTATTCCAGCTTGTATAGTTTGCAAGTGGGAGCTGAAGGTACAGAATTACAAGACCCAGGCACATTCAGGCAAATATTTTTAAGTGTATAAAGCTTGGCACTTGGCAACAAAGGACATGAATAAACATCCAGAGGACTGCCTTACCCTTCCTTCTGCTTGGAAACTATTTTCCAGACAATGCCTGCCCCCAGGAGCAGCAGAACTCCCGCGGCTGCGACTCCTGAGAGAGAAGAGCCCGTATTATTCCCACTGTGTGTTTGAAAGCACACAAAAGACGTAACAAGGTGTATCTGCCAAGTAAGCAGAAGGAAACAGTGCCACTGAGCTAAAGACCTGGCTGCAAGAATGTTTGCAAGCTGCTTACCGAGGCCTAGTGACCCAGACTTGTGTGATGCTGGAGGGAGGAGAAAAAAAGAGAAATCAGCAAACGCTTCTAACAAAATCCAGTGTTTGTCTGCTGTCCTTAATCAATCTACCAATAAACCTTTTAGAATCATACAATGGTTTGGGTTGGAAGGGATCTTAAAGATCGTCCTGTTCCACCCCCTGCCATGGGCAGAGACACCTTTCACTAGCCCAGGTTGCTCCAAGCCCCGTCCAACCTGGCCTTGGACACTTCCAGGGATGGGGCAGCCACAGCTTTCTCTGGGCCAGTGTCTCACTGGTAAGACTGATTTCTTAAACCCACCATTATATACTCTTTTCTTAAATACAAGAAGTTATTTGCATGTTTAAAATGCATTTAGGTGTTTCTGTCTGATCTTTGCTTCGTTCCCATTTCACTCACTCAGTTTACAGGCTGGCACAGGAGGGTCCCAGCTGAAATCCTCTTGGCACTGAGTCTGACTGATGCCTTCCAACGTGTAACCATCATCACACTCAAGAGTGAGGTTGGTCCCAGAACGATAAGTGTTTCCTTTAATGGCTTTCTTAACACCTTGAACGTCCGGGAATTCACATCTGATCTCTGGAATTGGAAGTAATCAAAAAAGGGCATTTAATGACAGGAAACATAAAACATGAGAAATACAACTGTGGGTTATTTAGGACACAGTTCTTGAATTTCTTCTGAATGTAGCTAGGAATTTATTCTTATTCCACAAGGTAGTTCCTTTCTTTGTGGCTGCAGAGGTGGGTAAGGGTCTCACTGCCACAAATGAATATTTGTACAGATCAACTACTCCACGCTGATATGGCAGATGCAAAATCATGTGTAGAAGGGGTACTTTGGGAGAAGCTTGACAGAGAAGGAGATATTTCTGATACCAGGCTACCAAAACATTTGGAGAGGAAAGGTTTAGCAGGAAAGAATTCTGTGGCAGTTTTAGAACCAGCTGCATATAAACCACTTCTAGTCTGTAAAAGTCTCTTGCCCTCCAAAGATGTCATCATCAATAATTAATTCATTAATTAGTCCATCCATCTAAGCTATTTATAAAACTAAAGTGAGTCAGTTGCTTCAATTCAAGCATCTCATCACCTTTAACACTCCAAGTCCAAGGATTCTGTTGGACAAGGTTCTCAGTGAGCAAAGGGGTAATATCAGCATGTAATATTTACCCTTTATTTTATGTCATATATATATATATGTTTACTATCACTTGTCCTAGTAATAAAGATACTTCAAAGCCACAAAAATCTGGTATGGCTGGTAGAACTTTTCTGAGACTGCTTCCTTTAAGGAGCCTCTGATTTATTTACATAAGTGTTTGGTAGGTTATTTCCTCCCATTGTTATTTGAGATTTTCAGTTCCTGAGTCACTGAGGCGGGTGCAGCTCCTCATGTGGATAATGATGATGATTGTCCAGTTTTTCATGCAGGAACACCCACACTAGGAATCCTGTGACGTCCATGCAATTGGCTTAAGTCAAATTTGCCTGATGACTGACCTTGGAAGTGCCAATTCAGAGATACAGAGAAGGGAATAGTTGTTGTCATATACGAACCATCCATCAGAGACCCCTTCTCTGATATAATCACTTTCTTTGTTTCTTATTACTGATAACTGGAGAGTGAGAGACAAAAGGAAATGGACACAAAAATGTTTCTACTCTTCTACTAAAAGTAAAAAGCTGTCAGTGGAGAGAATTTGGTGTACACCTCTTTGGAGCAACAGGGGCAGAGATGGAAAACATGCAAGAGTTAAAACTGCCTATCAGAAGTGCCTCTGTTGGACTCACATCCTTCTGACTGTTTGCTCCAGGTTTCCATCCTCCTTCTTTACAACAATACTCTTCCCAGGGTTAACAAAGAGTAGATAAATTCCTAGATAACAGATCAACACTTCCTAGCTGTGACATAAAAGCAGTTCCCAGGCCAAATAACGGGATGGAATTCAGTGTTAGCTGCTGCTGATCTTACTGCTCAGATTTTGGCCCTGAATCTCTGAAGATTTAATTTTCTCCCCAAAGTAAGACGTGTATGTCAGTGTGGCTGCATGTCCCTCAGCCCAGTCTGGTTCTGCCACCACAAATTCCAAACAAAGGAGCAAAGGAAGCACAAAACCCACCTTTGCACTGAGGAAGAGGCTGGCTCCAGGTTCCTGACACCGTGCAGTTGATAAAAGCGTTCCCAACAAGTGAATAACCAGGATTGCAGCTGTAGGACACAGATGCTCCATAGGGAAAAGTGTGAGAGATGTTGCCCTTGAGCTTCCCATTGGTGATGTTTGGAGGATGGAGGCACTTCACAGCTGGAAAGTTGGGGAGGGGAGAGACAAACAAGAGGATCCTGAGGGACTGCAGAGAGTGGCCAAGGCACTGTACCTTTGCAGACTTCATTGTTCCCTCTGAAATACTTCACCTTGGCTCAATAACCTGTAACCCTGTAACTCCATCAGGCTTTAGAAATGGTTATAAATTTGATCTTGTTTTTATCACACATTGTGTAGTGAAGGACTCAGATGCAGTCCTTGTACAAACCTTTCCCTAAGGCAAGAGTTGTTAAATGTCCTTTGTTCTTAGCTCTCTGCTACAAAAACACACCTTGACAGAGGGGAGGAGGATGGCTCCAGGCTCCAGATGGTGTGCAATAAATGGATGCTGTCCCAAGGAGAGAGAAGCCGGGATCACAGATGTAGCTCACAGATGTTCCAGGAGCAAAAAACGCTTTTACTGGGCTGCTGAGAGACCCATGAGTGATATCTGCAGGCTTGGAGCAGTGCAGCACTAAAATCAGAGGTGTGCAGATCAAAACAGGGCTCACAGAGGCAAGAGGGAAAACTTTTGAGCAGCTGAACACTCACTCCCACAGCACTGACTCCAACACATAGAGCCAACCCTCTGCAAGAGGGTCAATTATCCCTCTCCCCTCAAAAAAGCAGGACAGGTGGGGAGGAGGAATTAGTGTTTAGTAAATCTTTCCTCTTCTTAGGAGAGACCTACCTGGCTTTGTTGTGGTGTTGGGATGATGATAATGTTCTGCCACTCCATTTGGATGCAACACTGAGAGTTTAAAAATGTGGGTGAGCAAACACAATGCACAAATTTACCTTCGTTTTCCATCATCCTGCATTTACATTTCCAGCACTTCCCTCCTCTCTGATAGTCAGTGTCCTGCCTTGAAGCTGCCAAATTTCTCACATTCAGGAAATTTAGAGAATGTGGGTTCTGGATTGCAACAAGCAGCGTGAGAAAGTGCAAATCACGCTAATACTTACAGCATTACCCAACCCCTGCTTCACCTCCTGCACGAAAAGAGAGGCATAAACAAAAGGAACAATTTCTGGGTTCTCCTTCAAGTACTCGGAGCAAACAGGAAAAATAAGGGCAACTTCAGCTTTGTTGAGTGGGTGGAAATCAGGGAGGAATCTGCAACGCTGAGGAGTCCAAGTGCTGAGACTTACCCTGCTCACAGACAGGGAGAGGCGGATCCCAGGATTCATCAGCTCGGCACTGGGATGTGTGATGGCCTCGCAAGGTGAAACCTTTACGGCAAGTAAAAGTAACAGTGTCTTTGTATCTGTAGCGACTTTTAAGAAGGGTTACTCTCCCATTCCGGATCTGTGGGGGTGGACACGCCACCTCTGAAAAATAAATTCATATTTATGAATATGAAGCCACATTTATGCCTTAATTGGTGCATATATAAAGTCCATCCTCAGTGTGCTCAGAGGATTTTCACAGGTAGTGCTTGGAGACTCAGAGAAGAATAATTTCAAGCTTTTTAGTTCATTTAAGTACCCTAAGGTTATATTATATATCTGAACATAGTTTGTGGCTATGAACAGAATAGTGCAAATACATTCCAATAAAAGTATTAAATGGGGTAGAAATCTGTAAGCACTGTTAGCAATTCTCATGACTGCTTTACTATCCCAAATTCACCTTCCAAAGCAATTCCATCTGAAAGAAAAACTAACTGCAATGATCAACCCCTGCAAACAACAGTACAGGATTTGGAAGATTCCAGTTCGGTTTTACTCGATGTCCCACTCTTCTACTGCAAAACACATTCCTTCCTTAATTTATTATTTACATTTGTGAAACAAAAGGGACAAATCCCTGCAGGCATCTCACAGCTCTTCAGTCTACATTTCTATGGCAGATCCAAAGCTTGCATCTGGAAGATTTTTAGAAGAAACCAAACATGCAAGCACCAAAAACAACCCCTATCCTAGGGGAATACTATGCTTTAAAAGTCATATTCCTCTAATTCTATTTATCTAAAGGAAATACCACTTTTTGATTTTAAGGACTTAATTTGCCAGTTCTGGGCTCGATCTAGTGGTGACCTACTTACTCTGACAAAGGGGAGGAAGACCAGTCCATGTGACATCTCGTCCAAAAATCACACATCTCCTGTGAGAGTGTCCAACCAGCCGGTGCCTGGAGTTACAGAGACACAAATATCAGCTGATTCCAGGTCATTCAGCTTGGATTTTGCACTCCCACTCTGACACTACCCCCAGAGGTTTCCCTCTGCAGCCTCCTGATTCTGGCTGGTCACCAAGGTGTTTCTGCTGCTTTGACACATGGGAGTGAAGGACACCAAGTTCCTTCTTCCTAGATCCGGGGGGAACAACACTGATCCCAAATGACTCCGGGGTCAGGTTGGTCAGATGCTAAACCAGGACTTAGACTCAGCTGATTTCCAAAGGGCTGGAGCCTCCTTGCTTGCACTCTCAGCTCCTGCTCGGTGGCCGTCTGAGGAGGCAAAACTGAGACTGAAGTGTGCAAATTAATCTACTGAGCACAGGAAGGGAAAAATGAGACACTCCTCCCTTTCCTAAGCTGGCAAAATTGGAACCAAAAATCCGCATTCTGGCTTGCTGTGGGAGAACAGCTGCTCAGAGGAATGGGCTCTGATGCTTTACCACAAGTTGCCCAACACCAAGCTCAGACACAGAGTCAGCAAAAGGCAGCGTGGGACTTACCCTTCCTCACACGTGTGGCTCACGGTGGACCCCAAAAAGAGATCTGTCAGAACAACAACTCTGCCATTCTTGGGTGTTTCTGGATATATACATTGCTTCCCTGGGAAAGAACAAGGCTGAGTTTAAACTCCTCTCTTGCAGTTGTGTAACACATTACGAGAAGGTATCTTAAGGCTCTGTCCACATTCTGACACCAATAATTTTGATTTCTAAATGGCCAATAATAGGCCCAAACTCTGTGACTAGTGAAGCCATGTATAAATCTTTTTTTTTTTTTATAAGAAACCCACAAATCAGACAATTTCCAACAACACCAAACTGATGGAGCTATTCACTTTTACAAAACTCTAGCGCTTCAGACCACGTGTGGTTTTTGAGGCAAGTCAGGGTTGGGGGCACTCCGGGGTGTCTCATGTATCCTGGCTGGCAGCTGTAGCGCACGGTGTCCCCGGCAGCAAATTCCACCTGATTTCTGTATTCCCTAGTTAGCTGAGCAAAGGTGAAGTTTGGAGGTGCACCACAGCCACCTATCAGGAAAGAAAACAGAGGGAGAAATAGGGATATCAACCACACAAAGTTGTTTTAAAATGCACGTTGAGCACGCATGGTTTACAAGACAAACAGAAAACAAAGGGGAAGGGCTGAAGGATTCCAAATTTTGGCATGGGTAAGGACAAATCCTACATGCTTTCATTGGCAGAAACTTCCAGACTATCCATAATTCCCAACTTGGAACCACAGTGTACCTGCACACTGAGGGAGAGGGAGGCTCCAGTTGCCAGAGTCAGTGCAGTAGATCGATGCCTCTCCCAGGAGGCTGTACCCAGGGTCACAGCTGTAGTTTACAACCATCCCAGTGGTGAAAACTTCCAAGTCCTGGCTGTTGTGATCTCCGTTGTCAATGGTTGGAGGTGAAGGACACTGCAGCACTAAAGAGAGAGGACAAGACAAAACTGAGAAAAGGGCAAGGACGTGATGCTTAGAGGGCCGGAGTGATTCTTCTGTGAAGACGGGCTGAGAACATTGGGGTTGGTCAGCCTGGAGAAGAGAAGGCTTTGGGGGGACCTTAGAGCCCCTTCCAGTGTCTAAAGGAGCTACTTGAGAGATGGAGAGAGACTTTGGACAATGGCCTTGGGGAATGGCTTCAAACTGGAAGAGGACAGGGCTAGATGGGATATTAGGAAGAAATTCCTTCCCTGGGAGGGTGGGGAGGCCCTGGCACAGGTTGCCCAGAGAAGCTGTGGCTGCCCCATCCCTGGCAGTGTCCAAGGCCAGGTTGGACAGGGCTTGGAGCAACCTGGGATAGAGGAAGGTGTCCCTGCCCATGGCAGGGGGTGGAACAGGAGAATCTGGTTTTAAGCTTCTTTAACTCAGTGCCATAGGAAAAGGATCACTATTTCTAGGAGCCAAATCCTCCAGAAAAGGAGAAATTACAAGGCTTCCTCCCACAGTATTTTAAAAAAACTAGAAGCATCTGCAAAACATACATTTACAAAACTCCTGGGCTTCAGACCATGTTTGATTTTCAAGACATGTAATAGTTGGTGGTATTTGTGGCTCTTTCATGTATCCAGCCTGACAAGTGTATTCCACAATCTTCCCAACAGGAAACTCAGTTTGATTTTTATACTCCTCATTTAGCTCAGCAAATAATAACTTGGTTGGTGTGCCACAACCAGCTGCCAAGAAACAAAATGCACATGAGAAACACAACCTTGGTTGTGAAATGCAGTTAGAGAGAAACAAGTGCATTTATAGGCACTGTTAAACCCCAGGGTAACAAAATACCTTCTGTGTATTCTGATACATTTGAATGCATAACATTCAGCATGTAAGGACACATGCACCTAATTTACATGCTCTTAAAAAAAACCCCAAACTAAAACAATGCCTCCAAAAACAGTTTAAAAAAATATAATGTTCCCCAAAAATTTAAAAAAAATAATACCCCTGAAAACTACAATGCCCCCCAAAAACACAATGCCCTTAGAGATAGTTTAAAAAAATATTATGCTCCCCAAAAATTTAATGCACCCAAAAATAGTTTTAAAAAATATAATGCTCCCAAAAAATGTAATGCCCTCAAAAATAGTTTAAAAAATATAATGCTCCCAAAAAATATAATGCCCCTAAAAATAGTTTTAAAAAAATTATGCTCCCCAAAAATACAATGCCCCTAAAAATAGTTTTATAAAATACAATACTCCCAAAAAATATAATGCTCCCAAAAAATATAATGCAACCAAAAATAGTTTAAAAAAAATATTATGCTCCCCAAAAATACAATGCCCCCAAAAATAGTTTAGCCAGTTTGGTGCTCTGCACATCCTACACATCTCTGCCATCACACATTGTGCCATCTTTGGGCTGTAGAGTGCAGGAATCTTCAATTCCACTACTTAGAACACCCAAACCTGCCTCCTTTTGGGAAACCACGGGCTTTAGCAATGCCACCAGCTTATTCCCATTCCCACCAAAGGGGACACAGCTCCTGCATGTGCTAGAAGCACGTTTAGACCCACGGGTGTCACTGGACATGTGGTTCCTCCCACTCGTGCCAGTTGTGGGTGTTGGCAGGTTTGGCTGACCCAGGATGAGCCGAGCACGGGGCAGATGCTCAGCCAGCCACGAGAGCACGAGGGGGCAGCTGGTCCCACCTGCACAGCGTGGATATGGAAGGCTCCAGCTCCCCGAGGCCGTGCAGGAGATGGAAGGGTCTCCGAGGAGGGAGAAGCCGGGCTGGCAGCTGTAGTTCACCGACGCGCCGCTGGTGAAGTTGGCCCCGAGCTCCGCGTCGTGCGTGGCGTGGGCGATGACAGGAGGCTCAGGGCACAGCAGCACTGCCAGGGCAGGAGCACAGAGCAGAGTTTTAGTGGTTTTGCCCGGCAGAGGAGCACATGTGACGCAGCAAAGGACTGTCACACCTGAAGTGGTTTGGGTGAGGCGGAAAGCGTGACCTCAGGGCCACTCCGGTATAACAAGCATAGAATCATAGAATGGGTTGGAAGGGACCTTAAAGATCATATAGTACAGGGATGCCTTCCACTAGCCCAGGTTGCTCCAAGCCCTGTCCAACCTGGCCTGGGACACTTCCAGGGATGGGGCAGCCACAGCTTCTCTGGGCAACTTCTACCAGTGCCTCACCACCATCACAGGGAAGAAATTTTTCCTAACATCTAATCTAAACCTACTCTCTGTCAGTGTGAAACCATTCCCCCTTGCCCTGTCACTCCAGGCCCTTGTAAAGAGTCTCTCTCCACCTTTCTTGTCAGCTCCCTTCAGGTACTGGAAGGCTGCAATTAGGTCACCCTGAACCCTTCTCTTTTCCTGGCTGAACAATCCCAATTCTCTCAGCCCTTTCCTAATACCAGAGATGCTCCATCCCTCTTATCAACTATGGACTCGCTCCAACAGCTCCATGTCCTTCCTGTGCTGGGGATCCCAGCGCTGGAGGCAGGTGGGGTCTCACCAGGACAGAGCAGATGGGCAGAATCACCTCCCTCAACCTACTGGCCATGCCTTTTTTGGGTGGCCTCCTTCTAAACCCCCACGTGCCCATGCTCACCTCGCTCACAGGTGGGCACAGCAGGCACCCAGCGGCCGTCGGGCTGGCACTTGGCTGCACGGGTGCCCTGCAGGACGTAGCCTGGGTGGCACTGGAAGGTGACGTTGGCCCCAGGGTGGTACACAGCGCTCTGGCCTTCAGCCACCTCTCCATCCCGGATGCTGGGGCTTGCACAGGTGATCACTGCAAGGGAAAAGTGTCAAAGCAACGGGCTGGGGAAGCAGCTGCCAGAGCTTGTTAGAAACGATCCACCTCGTTTGTTTTTTAGAGGTCAAAATTCAGGGGAGGCCACGCAACCACAACAGTCTGTTTTCCCTGTGGGTAACAGCATTTACAGCTCACCTTCACACCGGGGGTAAGGGATGCTCCAGGATCCAGATGTCAAACAAGAAACTGTTGTTTTCCCGGTGAGGACATACCCCGGGTCACAGTGGTACTTCACTGACATTCCAGGGATAAACACATCCACATCCTTGCTGTCATGCCGGCCGTTTTTGATATTTGGAGGGGAAGGACACTGCGGCACTACAAAGAGGGAAGAAGTCCCAACTGGTAAAGAGCTGGTGCCACAACCCCCCCACTGTAGGGTGAGGCAGCCTTTTAACTTCTTTCTTTCCCATCAGCTTTTGCCCAGTAGCTACTAAGGGATGTCACTGAATGATATTTCCATCCTACCCTCATTTACCTTCCAGCCTTCATGTTTTTTGAGCTTATTGAACCAAGAATGGTAATTTCTCACTATTTAGGGAACTACAGTGGTTGGTTTCCATCTGTGGCCCTGACAGCTTGCTCTGGGCTTTCTGTGGCTTCAAAAGAGATCAGACACCAGTCTGGCTCCCAGTCCCTTTGTGGAGTCATTTAAAGAGATGAAAACCCTACATTACAAGGGTCTGAATCAGAAAATCATGGAATCATTTAGGTTGGGAAAGACCTTTAAATTCATTGAGTCAACCAATAACCCCGCACTGCCAAGCCCACCACTGAACCATGTCATCTGCATGTCTTTGAAATCCCTGTTCCAGTGCTTGAAGGGGGATTATGGAGGTGGGAGACAGATCTGATTTTCCCTTCCAGCCCTTGCGAGCAGCCCCTTTACCTCCAGTGTGAGGTGTTGCACCCTGCCAGCTGCACTCACACAGTGGTTCAGAAGAAATCAGCTACCACCCTCCACCTCACTTGCACTTACTCTTCTCACAGGTGGGGAAAGGAGGGTCCCACTTGCCCCCAAACTGGCAGCGAGACTGTTGAGAGCCCTTCAAGGCATAACCAAAATCACATTCAAAGACAGCAATGTCCCCGAGTCTGTACGTGGTCTCCAGCCCAGTCGTTCTTCCATTCTTGATCTCTGGTCTGTCGCAGCCAATTGCTGGAAGAAAAGAGCACAAAGCACTGCTGGGGATGTGAAACCCATCCTGGGTGTGGAGGGACACTGAGCAGAGGCAGGACCTGCTGCTGCACATCACTGTCGTGGGCACATCAACATTATCGGCTCTTTTTCTTACACAAAATATCATTATTCAGCTGTTTTGAGAGCTTGCATTTAGCGAGAACAGAAAGGGAAACCCTCAGAGGCAGATGGGGCTCCTCCTGCCTGTGGGACCTCTGATCTCCGCCTCTCACTGGAGATTTGGTCTGCAGCGCTTAGAACAAGAGCCAAGAAGGAAGAAGGGGCCCGGGGAGGATGGAAGGAGCCAACACAAACACACCTTCACACCGGGGCCGGGGCCGGCTCCACGTTCCGGCGGCGGTGCAGTGGATGGAGGCGTTCCCGATGAGGGAGTAGCCCTCTGAGCAGCTGTACTGCACAGCCGAGCCCGGGAGGTGCCTGTCCGAGGGCTGCCCGCTGTGATTCCCGTTGGGAATGCTCGGAGGGGGAGGACACTTCACCTCTGCCAAGGAGAAGGGAAAGGAGGTAAGAAACATGCACAGGGCAAGAAAGAAAATAAAGTAAAAACACACCCTTCTAAAAGCAAAGGAGGAAGAAAATTAACTCCACTAACTCCTGTGGATAAATATCTGTCGGAGCCATGGGATTTCCTCCTGCCAGTGACAACCAAACCTCGCCAGTGGGGACACACCACAGAGCCCTCCCAGCCCTACCTTGGCACCGCGGCGCTGTCCCGCTCCACACCCCGTGCTCCCCATCTGAGGAGGTGCAGAGGATGGAGGGATCTCCTGCCAGAGAGTGCCCGGAGTCACAGGAGTAGGTGACCACGTCCCCGTAGGAGAAGGTGTCCCTCGAGTGCCCGCTGTGTGTCCCGTGGGGGATGGCCGGAGGTGGAGCACACACGATCCCTGCAGGCAGGCACAAGGGGATTTTTAGCACTGCAGCAGCACCCAGGGACTGCTGGACACACCCAGGAAGGGAATCTACGGGGATGGAGCCATCTCAGCGTTCAGTGTCCCAAATCATCCAGGAACAAACCTTGTATGGAAAAAAATCACCTATGGGAAGAAAAACCAGCACCCTCCTATGAGCCAGTTCCTTGCTGCCCGTCTGGAGGTGGTGGGACAATTCTTACCTCCCTTTCCATAACCATTAGTGACAAACCCAGAGGCAGATTGGCCACTCCATTCCTACACACGCCCAGTGAGAAATACTTACCCTGTTACAGGGAGTTTAAAATATTACTGTTTCTTCCCAGTTTGGAACAGGATAAATAAAAGACCTTTGGAAACATTTTTCAGAAGCATCAAACCAAACAATGAAAATTAAAAGGAAAAATTTTAGGCATCCAGGGACTTGAATCTTTTGCAATAAAATCTTTGGCTTGAAAGACGTTCCACTTGATCTTGCAAACCATCTCCAAGGACCTTTCCCTCTGGCCTACTTACTCTGGCAGACAGGAGCATCTCCACTCCACGAGACACGTGTGCCAGAGACCTCGCATGTTCTTTGAGAGCTTCCAACCAACTTGTACCTGGAGCCACACAGAAGGATTAATTAATTTAACAATAAGAGACTTGAGATTCCTTTGCAATCTTTGTAAGTGGCAGCCGAGACTTCTGACTTGTGAACTAAGTTGTGTAAAGCTGAAAATCCACTTTTGCTCTCACCTGGCAGCTGAACTCAGCTTGTGCAAGACTCACCCTTCGTCACAAGTGTAGTTAATTTTGGACCCGAAGAGGAGGTCTGTCAGGACAACAGCTCTGCCTCTCGCTGGGTGCCCGGGGTAAGGACACTGCTTCCCTGCAAGGGAATGCCAGCCTCTGGTAACCCCCAGCTGCTACTCACATCCCAGCTGGGGATGCCAGCACAGAGAGCAGGTAAAGAAACACATAAAGCTGGGAAAACGTGGAAAGCCAGCCAAGCCTGACACTTTGGGTTCTTCAGCACTTGTAGGACGTACTTTTACAGAACTCCAGCACCGCAGACCACGTCTGATTCCTGAGGCATGTGATGGATGGTGGCATCCCTGGGTGCTGGGAATACCCAGGCAGGCACACGTATTCCACTGTCCTCCCCACGGGAAACACGGTCTGGTTGTTGTGAGGCTCCTTCAGCTCAGCAAACTCCAGCCTGGCAGGTGCACTGCAGCCAGCTACCAAGAGAGAGAAGCCAGCCCAGTTGTTAAAAGAGCTAAGAAAAGGCAGATTTGGGAGAGCAGGGGAAGGTTAAGGCTCAGAGCCCTGTTTGAACACTTGCCCTGAGTGCAGACTGGCACGGGTGGCTCCCAGGTGTTATTGGGTTGGCACTGGACCACTCTGTGGCCACGTAGGACAAAGCCTGGCTCACACTCAAAGGTCACAGTGTCCTGGTGTGAGTAGGCAGCTCTAGGAGACACGATCCTCCCGTTCTGGACCCGTGGGACAGGACAGTTTGCCTCTGGAAAAAGGAAGTGCAGGTCCTCAAAGCAGGCACTTCGGCAGAGCTGTGCAGCTGAGAAGCCACATGGGATTGCAATCCCTTTTAAGACACAAGCCTGAAAATAATTTTCCTGTGGATGATGTCCTGCCTGCATCCAGGGATATCAAACATCACCAGAGAGACCCAACAGAAAGGTGAAGCTGGGGATGCTGGAGGCAGCGGGGTGTCCCTCCAGCCTCCTGCCCTCAGCTGCACATCAGCCCTTGAAAACTCTGGGGCAAGAAATCCAGCTGTCTGGAACTTCCTAGTCTTTCCAAACTTCCCAGTAGTGCTGTGAGGATGGCCCATGAGTATCTGCACCCAGCCCTACCTCCACACGTCGGGATGGGCTCGCTCCACACGCCGTTTTTCCCATCCTGGGTGGTGCAGTGGATGGAGGGCTCTCCGTGGAGTGGGAACCCAGGGTTGCAGGTGTATGTTACGGATATGCCATAGTGGAATTCATTCAGCAGCCTGCCCGTGTGCTTCCCATTGGGAATGTCCGGAGGTGGCTTGCAAGGAATACCTGCAGAGGTGCAGAACAAGGCTTTTGAGTTCGACAGCAGCACCAAAGTCCTGGAAATCCCTCGGTCTGTGGGGCATAAACACTTGTTCTAGAGATGGAGTAACTGCAGTGAAGTGACCTCCCAGGTGAGGACTTGTTGGCAACAGGATCCCACCTCCCTGGTCAGCAATTTCTATGGCAGGTAGAAAGCAGACCAGTAAAACCTCTGTGGACGAAACACCTACATGCTTTATATTTTTTACTGTTTAAGAAATAAGAAAGCAAATTGTTATTTTGCATTGCTTTTGCAAAATGCTGATTTTCTGCACAGTCTGTACATCACCTTAGGTTCATATGTACCTGGAGAACATGTGAAATGCTTTAAAACCCCTGTTTTAAAACGAAGCAAATGTTTCTGTCTTCATATGAAACTGTCACCTAATCAGCAACAGTACTGAACCAGCAGAGAAACACTCAGGTGTAACTGCTGAGGTGCAGCTCTTTGGGTACAAACCAGTTATTTGTGCTTGGAGAGTAGGAGCAAGCCCACAGTTTGGGACTTTGGGATTCCACTACTGGCACAATGCTCTGTCTCTCTCTAGGTCTGACCCTGTGTCTGACAGTAATAGCCCCTAAGCTGAACATATATTCCCTTCCTTTCTTGTAACAGGCTCCTGATGTCAGAAAAGCTCCAAAAAAGCTGGAAAAGCTCCAGCTGAGACATTGTTTTCTATAACCCATTAAGCTTTGGGATCTTGTACCTTTCCCAGAATGTTTTCTTGTAACTTCAAAACCCTCTGATAACTTTCGTGCCCGCAGGGCAGAGGAATTGCCTGTGAGAGCTTTGATTGGAAAGGTGTGGCAGTCTCTGCTGGAAAATATTTCCCAGATCCGTGCAAACCCCTGGAGCTGTGAGCTACTCACGCTGGCAAACGGGAACGTCGCCACTCCATTCAACACGTCCACCAGAAATCTCACACCGTCTGCTGGGTTCTCCAATTAACCTGTGCCTGGTGTTGAAAGGATTGAATGTTCATCCCAAGTCAGTTCAGTTGGAATTGCTGCCTCCCCCTGACCACCCTGGATGGTGGGATCAGCAAAGCTGTGGCACTGAAGGAGGAGTTCCTTCCTCGCTCTGCCAAACCCGTTTCAAGTATTTATATGTAGAGAAAAGATAGTGAGCACCTTAAGAGCTATATAGGTACAGAACCCTGTATGGCTTCTGTACAGAATCCATGTGGAGTGAATGAATAGGAGGAAGAAAAAGAGAGACTTACCTAATACACCTCTAAGCAGAAGCCAAAGCCAGGACTTACCCTTCCTCACAGCCGTAGACCACTGTTGACTCAAACTGGAGATCTGTTAGGGAAATAATTTTCCCGTTCACAGGTTCACCAGGGTGACTGCATTGCTTCCCTGGGGGAGGAAAATACCCTCATTTTAGCCTTCTGTCTCTCCATACTGTGGCACAACAGATGCAACTTTTACTCCAGTCATCTGCCCACATTTCCTGTTATCCCCCCAAAAAGGTTTCGAATAGCAAAGAGTTACATGGCTTCACTAGTCACATATCATTTGAGGACCAGATTAACAGAAAGGTTTTTGCAACATGGACAGAGCCTAGGACCTATTCCTTCTTGATCAACGGACACCAAATCAAGGAGCTATTCACTTTTACAGAACTCTAGTGCTTCTGACCACACTCCGCTCTCAAGGCATGTAATAGTAGGTGACATTCCTGGGTGTTTAGCATATCCAGGTCGGCAAGTGTATTGCACAGTCTTCCCAACAGAAAAATCAAGCGTATTTCTATGCTCCTCATTGAGCTCAGCAAAGTGTAAGTTTGTGGGAGGACCACAACCACCTATTGAGAGAGAAAACAGACATGAGAGCCAGGCAGGGCAGGTTGGTCGGGTGCACGCTGTCAGGAGGAAAGGTGTTTGGTTTGCCTTGCTAAATTGTTTCTTAATATAGCCATTATTAAACAAACACAGCATATTTTCTCGAAGGATTGCAGAGGAACAGGTTCTTATTCTCGGGATATACTTAAATCTTCCACTCACAGGGTTTAACCACATTTTTCAAACAGGGTTAGGGGACATAAAATAGCAGTGTACCCCAAGGCAGCTAAGTCATTATTTACCTGAAGATTCAAGCCCGTTTAAGGAGTTCTGGTGAAGGAATGATCTCTCACAGACAGGAATAGGAGGCTGCCAGCTGCCATCCTCCTGGCAGGAGACCTTGGCACTGCCTTGCAGGCTGTAACCATCCTGGCACCGAAATGTCAGTGTTTGCCCAGGGGCAGAGATAAGTCCTTGAACATCAACTTGCCTCCCATTGGCTATGGGTGGGTTTATGCAGACAGTCACTGGAAACGAGGGTGTGCAAAAGGAGTTGGAGCAAAACAAAGCAAAGAACCACAGGCTGTTAATATTGCAACAACAAAATCAACAAGACATCTGCTGCCATTGGAGCACAGGGAGGAGGATGCTGGCTCTAAATTCATGCATCTAAGCTTATTCTTTACATATTATAAAGCCATGTATTTCATTAAAGGGCAATTTAATCTCTCACTGGAGGTCTCAGTAGCAATGGTGAGGGTCACTCTGTGCTCAGAGCCACATTTTGAGCTCCTGCCTGAGGGGACAGAGCACAGACACACCTTCACAGCGAGGGCCAGGCTGGCTCCAGCTCCCTGAGGCTCTGCAAAATGCATCAGCATTTCCAACCAGGTAATAGCCAGGATTGCAGGTGTATCTTACAGACATTCCCACAGTAAAAAATGGTTTGCTCTGGCCGTTGTGGTTTCCATTGGTGATCTCTGGAGGCATGGGGCAGGGTCGGACTGCAAGAGGGAGATGGGAAGTCCTAAGTCAGTGAGAGAACAGGGTGCCAGGGGAAGGCAGCTGGAGTGATGCTGCATTGATGGGTTAAAGCCCATCACAGGAACAGCTCTGCCTGCACAGGCTGTTCCTGCCTGCATGGAGCCCCTGCCAGGCAGGGCTGCCCTGGGGAAGCAGTGGGCACCCACACTCACCCCTCTGGCAGATGAGCACTGGTGGATCCCAAATTCCCCCAGGCTGGCACCGAGTCTGGTAGGTGCCCTCTGCAGCATAACCAGTGTCACAGTCAAAGTGAAGAGTCTCCCCAGCTTTGTAGGTGCTCTGCAGACTGTAGACCTTCCCATTCTGCACCTCGGGTGTCTCACAGCCGATTGCTGCAGGGAATGTGGACAACACCCTTTAAACTTCAATACTTCAATGCACGGGCCAGATCCTGCACACACAGCTTCCCCCCTTCTTGTCACTGCCATAAACCTGCCTGCTCTGTTGCTACAGGACATCCAGCATCCTTCCTGCCAGCCCACACCCAGCAGTGAACCATCCACCCACCTTCACAGCGGGGCAGGGGCCGGCTCCACACCCCAACCTCCGTGCAGGTGATGGACTCATTCCCAACCATGGTGTATCCATCCCTGCAGCTGTAGTGCACGGTCACTCCCCGGAAAACCTTGTCCAGGGACTGTGCAGTGTGCAGCCCGTTGGCGATGTTCGGTGGCCGAGGACACGTCACCCCTGCAGAGGGAAATAAATCACCCTGTGGGTCAAGTGTTTGCCTGTTTGTGTGTTACTAGGACTGTTTAAGTGGCATTATGGTAATATCCTAAATTCTGTTGCCTTTGTTCCATTTGCTGGAGCAAAGCATTAGTTAACTAAAGGTGCAGCTGCACCGATATTGCAATCACTCTGCATCTGGAAGAAATTACTGGCAGTAAGGACAGCCCCAACAGGAGAACTCACAGGCATGTCATGGGATTTGGCAGAAATGCACACGGACATGGAAGCAGCAGGAGCAGCGAGAAACTGTGATTAGTTCCCGTTCCAGGAGGAAGATGAAAATGCCCCACATCTGACCAGGAGCTGAGTGACAGGAATCCCCCCGGGGCAGCCATCCCACAGCTGGCTCAAGATCGTGCCGGGAGGTTCCAGCCCAGGGTTAACCCCCCAGGGTTAACTTCTCCCACCCCGGCTTTGCTTTCCCACTGAATTTGAGAGGACACAAGAGGGAGCTTTCCCCCGCGGCCGTCACTGCTCGCACACAATGGGACACTCACCCTTTTTGCACACTGGCAGAGGTGGGTTCCATCTGAAGTCAGCCCCGCAGGTGCTGATGCGGGAGCCCTGCAGGGTGTAGCCCCGGTTGCAGGTGAAGCTCACGATGTCCCCGGGCCTGTGGTACAAGCGAGCAGGGGGTACTTTCGTCCCATACCGGATGTGTGGGATCGGGCACAGGGGAACTGGAAGAGGGAGAGAAATGAAACGTTTACCTACAGAGCTCCCAGGTGTTGCTGTGGTTGTGGGGATGGTGTCCTTGCAGCCCCTTTATCCTGAGCAGTGGGGTGTGGCAGAGGCTGAAGCTGGGGCAGGTGCCCCTGGGGCTGCAGGACCCCTCCCTGTGCGTCTGGGGGACCCTGCAGCTTCCTCAGCTGGCAAAAACTGGGTGTCCAGGCTTTCACATCAATCACCTGGTGAGGCCAAGAGCCCTTTCTGGCCTTTCTACAGGTTTCTGACCCACGGGCTCTGAAGCCCGTCCTCTGGGTCTGATCCAACCCAGGGAGATGTTGGCACGACCAACCTAACTGCAGTCCAGGGGTCAGAAGTCTGCTCCATCTAGTACCAAAGCACTGCTCGAACCTTGCCAGGGCAGCCAAGTGACAGCACCCACACTAACAAGATGGGAAGGTGTGAAAGAAGACAACCTGCAGTGATGGAGCTGAGTTTCTGTGTCTGTCCCATCCCAAATGAGAGGGCATCTGGGCTCCTGCATGTTTTCAGACCAAACATGCTGATCAGCACAGTCCTGTTGGCCATTTTACTCTCCTGCCCCATCCCACTGCATTTCTGTTTGCCACAGTTCCAATTTTTTCAGGGGTCAAACCCAATGAGTTCTTGGAACAAGCTCCTTATCTCATTGCTGGAAGATGCTGCACGCATAACCAGCTTTACTTTGGCAGTTTAAACATGTAGGTCAAGCCCCTTGTTCTGAGAAGCTGTGTAGGTAATGAAAGACCCTCCACAGCTCCCATTGCAAGGTTAAACCCCCCATTCCCCAGTCACTCAAGTGTGGGTCCAACACTATCCCAGAGGGTCTTTTTTACTAGCAGAGGAGCTTAGAGGCTCTGTGATGCTCAGGGTCTGGCATGCCAAGGTCCACCTGGGACCAGCAGGGAAGAGCAAAAGGATCAGCAAGGAGAGGAGCAGCCACGAGAAAGAGGAGGGACGCGGGAGGAAGGTCCAAGACCTGCCGGTCTCACTCACCTCGAGCCTCAGCCGTGGAGATCAGGAGCCAAGCAGAGCTGCCCAGGAGGCAGAGGGTGAAGGTGAGCACCATGCTCTGGTCCCTGGCACAGACTGTGGCTCCTGGGGGGGCGGTGGGAAGATATGGACACCCCAGTTCCCCCCAACACCCCCCGCCTGTGGAAGGAGCCTCAGCCACGGGACTTCCCAGGGCCACAGGACAGGAACCCGTGGGCTCCCCGGCTCAGGGGAGGCTGCAGGTGCCCCACGCTGCTGCTGCTGGTTTGGAGGGGGAGGATGGGCCCCCAGGACCCTCAGGCATCTGTGGAAGAGGGGGTGTGGGTGCAGGCAGAGGTGCTGTAGCCGAGCTGTGCCGTGGTGCAGAGCATCCTCCGCTGGGGAAGTGGCCTCAGGTCCCCAGGTGGTGATGGCACCTGAAGGGACACAGCACAGCTCACCTGGGTGTGGGAAGGGCAGAGAGGGGCATTCCCTCCTCCCACACACATGGGACCAGCAGCAGTTGTAGACCTGAATCCTCCTAACCCAACCCTGGCTGCTCTAGGGCTCATCCCCTGCCGCTGGCTGGAAGAATAAAAACCCCCAGACAGGACTTTTGGGGGAAGGAGCAGCCCCAGCATCCTCCAGCTCCTCACCTCACATAGCAGGTGACACTTCCTGAGCCTAAAACAAGCATGAAGGCACGTCTTACTCAAGTCTTTTTATCCCTTTTATTGACAGAGAGCTTCCAATATTTACATGTCCAACATTCACACTTGAGAATTGCCCTTGGTCGTTTACACTCAGATTATAAAGTAAAAACATGTACAGCTCCATTACAAACACAGTAGATAAACCCTCTCCAGTGGTAAATTTTGGCAACCACACCTGTAAGTTACATCACAGCATTCACAATTCCTTTCATTTGGTTGTGGGGAGATCATTCCAAGCTAGTCCCCAAATCGAGTGTTAAATCATTCAGAAAAATCACTCTGGATGATGGAGTAGGAACAATTGTGCTGGGATTAAAATAACAAAACCAAACACAACCCAAAGATACAAGGCTTTGGGAGATGTTTTGTCCATCCAGTCACTCATATGGCTTATGGTAAGAGATAAATAAAAATAACTAGCAACAGGAAAGTGCTTGAAAACAGGATCTCACAGTGGCCCTGTGACAGCTGAACAGGACAGTGCTCTGCTGGGAACAGAGAACTTTGTGGGTCTATTTGGAACAAGACTAACATGTTGATGGAAATGGCTATTTGTGTTTTTCCTTCTTGTTAGACATATGTTCCTGTTAACAGGAAACCACTGGTGAAAATGGAGAAACAAAAAGTCTGTAGTAGACAGGTTTTGCTCCCAATTGTGCATCACAAGAAGCTCACAGATGGGTGACTTACCTCAGCAGCAGACAAAACCCCAAACCTCAAAATCTTGCTTTACAAGCAGCTAAAAGTCTGAGTGTCTCAGGCTTAACAAGTTTAAATTCCATCACAGTGTTGTTTCCCTTATAAACAGGAAACCTTGTAGTATTTATTTTATGAGATGGCACCTCTTTAGCTTATCAAGTGATCCTTTAGCCAGGCTGAGCTCAAACCAGGAAAGGACACCAAGGGCCCAGCGTGGCCCTTCTATCAGCCAAACAAATCAAGGGCATTTTTGCCTGTGCCTTTGGTTTAGACAAGGAGAGTGAGGTCCCACACACTTCCTCCCTCCCCTCTGTCTGCCCTCACACACCATCCTCAGCACAACAACAACTAGGTCAGGTCAGACAGGATGAAAAAGAGCACAAAAGGTGTGGGGTTGGTGTCCTGTTCCCCATGGAGGAGCACAGGAAGGCTTTGGCTTGATGTCCATCTGCACCTACCTTGGATGAAGCAACACAGCAAGAGTCTCCCTGGGCAGGAGCCCCTCAGCCCTGCCACGAGCAAGAGTCCAAAAATCTGCTTTTCCTCCCCAGCATTACAGAATCCCTGAGACATCCAGAGGCTGAGCTGGCACCAGCTGACTCACGTGGTCAGGGTGTACAGCACCCCCTGAAAAAACCCTTTTAAGTGCAAATTCAGACTTTTCTTACACCAGTCGCCCCATGCAAAGGGCATTTGAGGAGGAAAAAGGTTCATATGCAGAGACTGATGTTTGGTGGCACCTGCAAGTTCTGCATCCAGGCCAGACCCTGGAGCAGCTCCACTTCTTCCTGGGACCTTCAGCCCACTGAGAGCTTCAGCACTTCCAGAGAAGCTCCAGTGAGTTCAGGGACAGGAGCTGTTTCCATGAGGTACTTGTGGAGAAGCCTCAACACGATACAAAGAGGGTGTCAGGGCAGAGACCTTCAGCTGAAGCTTAAAACTAACTTTAGTTAGTTTTAAGGGGAAGGGTCAGAATAGCTGCTCTTTGTTATAAAAGCACTGAAACTTTTTCTCTCAGGTAAAATTCCTGCTGTTGCACAACAGTTCATACTCACCTTAAAGTAACAGCTGCAACTGTGCTTTATAGGAAGAAGAATATGAATATTTGAGGAAGTGATTCAACATGGCAATTAGTGCTGTGGTTCAGTTGATATGGTGGTGTTTTGTCAAAGGTTGGACTTGATGATCTTGGAGGTCTTTTCCGACCTTAATGATTCTGTGATTTTCAGTGCTGTCAGTGCTCGCAGATAATGCCCAATTTATACATCCCATTTGTTTCAAGCAATTTGTTTAAGGAGATATCATTCACATGAAGACATTCACTTTAACCCTCTCAGCAGGGGCAGCATTTTCCACCTCAGGACACTTCAGAAACCCATAAATCCTGATCAGGACCAGGCACAACGTGACCTTAGAGGGGCTGAGGAACCCAACATGCAGAGGTACCCAAAGCTCAGGATTTTCTTGAGCTTCCTCTATTACAGCCTGAAGGTCTTTGGCATCTTTGTGACTTAACACAGGGATAACTGCACTTGATTTCTGCACAGCATTCCAGCCAGGTGGCAGAGAGCTTCCCACTCCATTCCAGCCCCAGGAGCTGCTGTGTCCAACACAACGTGCTGCAGCTGCAGCCAGGAGCGTGAGTTCTTCCCAGGCAGCAGCTGGAACATCTGGGCTTTGCCAGCCAAGGGCTGTTGGTTGCTGCTCCAGGGCCAGTTTCACAGGAGGGAAAAACAGAGCACTGGGATCAGTCTGATTGAGTCCAACACATCTACAGGTGCCTTCTCACTGTGCCCATTCCCTAAATTAGATGTTCATGATCAGCATTGCCAGGAGGAGGGGGAAGATTCCTACAAGGTACAAATAAGAAGCTTCAGTTTTCACTTCGAACGTAGTTAAATATCTTTTCCCTCCTTGTTCCCCTTTACATTCCCCTCTCCCTTTTCAGTTCATGATCCTAAAGCACCAACAATACCAACGTGACCAGAGACTGTAACAAAAGGCTTTTAAGCCCATTACAAGCAGAACACACAGGAGAGAGGAACAAAGACAGGCAGGAGCTGGGTACAGGGGTTCAGGAATTTGTGTTACTTACCAACAACGATCATGTTCGCTCCTGGAAAGGAAAGGAGACAAAACATGAAACTCTGCACCCACCCAGCACAGTTATTCATAAACTACACAACATGCAGTGTCTCAAACTGGAGCAAATGAGCATGGAAAACAACAAGCAACACACAGAACAGGAAATAGAGGCTCCTTCCCCTTTGCCAGCATAATTTCTAAACTGTACAAGAATATTGCAGCAAAGGCCTCACAGAGGGAGTTACTATTGAAATCCTGATTTTTAGAGTTGATTGATTAAGAAGCACAAAGAAGAGCAGCCCAAGCCCACCAGCAAGGCAGCTAGACCAGAGCAGTTCCAGCTGTTATCTTAATGGCTCTGTGCAGGGTTTTTCCCTCTTACTTGAGCAGTAGGGAGGTGCTGGATCCCAGAGAACTCCATTTCCTGATGCCACACATTTGGCAGAAGGGTTTATTACCTCATGCCTAAGGAAAGAGAAGAAGTTTACTCCTTTCCAGAAGGGTTTTTCCCCACTCCCCAACCACCACACACAGGCAAGTGATTAACCAGAAGCCATCCTGCTGTGAAATGGGATGTGGCCACATCAAAGTAAAAACACCAATAAGAGCTGAATCAGAGCAGTTCACTGCATCACCAAGCACAGGTGTCTAACCACACACTGATCTCACTGAAGCCAAAATACACACTTGCACTGGAGACTTGCACTGGGAAACCAAGGAAGCTGCCTGTGATCCCTGTCCATGGACCCCCAGAATGGTGACCCACTCACCCGGCATTGCAGGTGAACTTCACAACTGTTTCAAACGGGAAAGTTGTTTCGTTTCCAGCCACGTTCCCGTTCTTTATTTCAGGAGGAGAGCATTGCTGTCCTAGAAGAAAAGAAAGCAGCACAGGGATTACTTCAAACCCATAGCACGACCCAGTTTTCAGAGTAACATCCCAAGCACGTCCAGATCCCTCCCACAGCCGGGCAAGGCAGGAGAGGAACAGAGACACTCACGGACACAGAAGTCTGGGTCTGCAGCAGACCAGGTTTCATCACTCTGACAAATGACAGTAGAGGACTTTCCAGGTGCTGCCTTATATCCTGGGTTACACCGATAGTTCAGCTTGGTTCCAAAATCAGAGCTGTTACCCACAGGCATCGGGAGTTCGGCAAAAGGGAAGCGTGGAGGGGAACCACAGCGGACTAATGGTGGGAGACAAACACAAGGCTGGTTACAGAACACACCCAAAGGGTCTGCAGTGACAGCAGTGAACTGCATGCTTTGGAGCACACAGCGTTTTAACCTGCTTGAATGTCTGGGACACAGTTTGTGTCTGAGCCTTTCAGCAAAGAGCAGTGGATGTCACAGTTTGCTTAACCAGACTGGGTAAATCTGCCTCAGAGATGCTCCTTCCCTGCCCACCAACCCAACCTGCAGGGTCCCCATTCAGCTGAGCTCGAAGCCAAAACATCCCCAAACAGGTCTGCAAGCTGCTGAACCAAACCTGGCAGGTGTGGAAGACAACAGTGTCCCTCCTTTCAGCGAGCTTTTGGATCATTTGCTATTCCCAAATAAAGAGCTTCAGGCCTGGGCTGCCACGCTGAGGACCCAAGGGGGTCTTGCCCTCTGCAAAGGCACGGCTGCAAGTGCACAAGGTTTGAAGTGGACCCGCTCTACAGCTCTCAGACCTACTTCACCACAATTGCTCAAGGAAATAAACTTGTTTCTACTCACTTTGCTCACATGTTGGCACGGGTGGTGTCCAGGAACTGTTTGCTTCACAGGTAACTACACTACTACCGTTCATTTTATAACCAGGATTACACTCAAAGCTCACTGTATCTCCATATGTGTGCTTAAGGCCAAAGCCAGACAACCTTTTCCCATTTTTCACATCTGGATTTTCACAGCTGACCACTGGAAGTGAAAATAAGACGATGAGAAAATTTATTAGAAGATAAAGCCCTGCAGTGACACGAGAAGCTTACCAAGTTCACTAAGAGAATCATAGGATGATTGAATGATTTGGGCTGGAAGGGACCTTAAAGATCTTCTAGTTCCAAGTCCCTGCCATGGGCAGGGATGCCACCTACTAGATTAGAACTGCTGTCCTCTCACTTTGAGAGAGGCAGGTCCCCAGTGGGGTGCAATTACTCAGAACAGAAACATCATTAGGAAGCTGCACGTGAGCACTTCATTTTTTTTATCTGCAGGAAGCCCTGGGCATGGGCAGGGAGAGGGAGGACTTCTGCAGGTTGAAGAATCCTGCCTCTGGCCATGACCTGGGAGCCCACAGCATTAAGCTTCCTGGAAATCCTTTTAGGATCAAATCAACCCTCTCATGTTTGGCAGCCCATCGGGAAGGTAAAGACTGGGAGAGGGATGAGAAACAAAGTTGAAAGAATAAGGAGAGAAAGAAAGCACTTGCCTTTGCATTCAGGGGCTGGACCACTCCAGGTTCCCTGGTAGTTTGGACCCATTGTACAGAAAATTGTGACATCTCCAATAAGAGAAAAACCGTCGTTACAGCTGTAACTTGCAGCCATGCCAAAGGTGAATTCTGTTTCCCCACCAAGGAGCTGCCCATTCGTGATTTCAGGAGGTGGTGGACAGGGAATAACTGCATGGGAAGGAAACAGTAAGGAAATGAAGGAATATTTCCATCAAATATGAAATATAGATGTAGCTACTAAAGCAAAAAACCCACAACCCAAACAAAAAAGACACAAGACAGACAAGCACCCCAGAAGCCATCCCCTCAACCTAAAGTCTGGAATGTGCCCTTCCATTCTGAATGCTTTCCAGAGTTTGTTTTTCTAAAATGGATAAAGGGGAAAACAGCCAAATGGCATCTGTTGTCCAAGAGCTGCCACCACAGAAGAGGCCTTTTGGGGGCAGTGAATGTGGTCTTTCCAGGCAGTTTGACCCCCTCACCTACAGTGATGGCACTTCCTACCTTTGTTATGCTGACAAGGATGAGGCCAGAACACCCATTATAGCAGCAAACCATCTAAACTATCAGCAGCTCACAGCCAGGCCTACCCCACAGTGTGCTAAAAAAAGCCCAAATAGCACCATCAAGACTCTTTATCATTTATTTCCCCTTTGAAAATAAAGATTTTGGATGTGTAGCCACATCTGAAGGCATCTCAGTCCCAGTCAACCACAGCTCTTGACAAAGCAATTCAGCAAGGAAGTTTCTCAGGGATCTGACTACAGAGCTGCTGCCAACATCCACAGACCCTCCTTGCTATTTATATTTTCATTCCCAGCTCCAGAGTACTCATCTGGGGGAGGGGTAAGGAGTCAGTCTCATTAAAGGCTAAAGGAATTTGCATGAGGTGCCAAGAAGACATAATCCACCTGCCAGTCCCCAAACTAGCAGATATGTTGCGATAGCTTTGAGGAAGAGATGTACATAAACCAGTTAAGATCTGCTTACTCTCACAGAATGGAATGTTATCCCAGTAAGCTTCACCATTTTTAAATACACACTGTGCAGTTGGTGGCCCAACTAGTCGGTACCTGAGAAAAGGAAAGGTTGAACCTCTTTGAAAAAAAGCAAAAACTTTGAGAAATTGAGAAAGTTGTACAGTTTCTAGTGGTATTCTCTGGAGAAGCTGAACCCTAGGGTACAATCAGCTAGCTCTTCTATGAAATACCATTTTCTCAGCACCTAAAGGAATGCAATACATGGTGCAATTGGAGGAAACTGAATTCTTGCACAAGCTCACAGGACCACAAGCAATATTTCATCTCACCCTGCGTCCGTTCAGCCCCGTCTGTGCAGTGGCAGATCCAAACAGCAGCTTATTTTCTGAGCAGAGCCAGGTGTCACTGACATACCTGAACCACCCTCCTTCCCTTTCCCAGCACCTCCAGGACACCAGAGCCCTCCTTATCTCAGCCAGACCCAGCTCGCAACAACAATCGCTGAATTGCTGACGAGCAGCAACAGGAAAAGAACCCAATTCTTTGCAAAGCAGCCAAAAAGCAAATCTGCAAAGTCCACACTCTCAGGCCCAGAGGATTATCATGTTTTGACAGCAAGAGCAGGGGGACAGCCCACCCCCTGTGGCTCCCTGCTCCAAACACCTCCCATCGTGCCTGTGGTCCCCAAGGAGCAGCCCCCAGCTTTTCAAAGCCTCCCAGTGTCCCCTGGGTGCTGTCACCCCACCTTGGCTCACCAGGAGCTCGGGCTGACACTTACCCAACGTTACAGGTGAAGGTCACAGTCGCCCCAAGCAGCAGATCGGTGCTGGTGTAAAAGTTGCCATGTGGGATGTCCGGTTGCCCACACGACTTTCCTGGAAGGGCAAGTGCTCAGCATTACCTTTATTTTATAGGATGAGAGTGAAAGGCAGGTGACAGTAGCTGTTCAGTGTCATTACTGACTAATTGACCGTTTATCAGGCACCTGACTGCCCTGAGAGCAAGCACTAGCACTTGCAGAAGAGATACAAGAGCCACATTAATTTCCAAAGAACTGAAAGTTAAAACTCAAACAAGAAGCAAATAACAGCACAGATAAGGCTGAGGACAAGTTAGAAAAAGCTAAGGTTTATGTACTTGCTGAGAAAGGACACTGATAAAGAACCCAGAGGTCTTGGTCCACGGGAAAATAGAGTGAAGGGGATGGGGACAGGGTGTCACATGGGGACAACAGACACTCACAGCCTCCTCCACACCGTCCCTTGTTTCTGTGTGAATATATCACAGCACTAACGCTGCACCACCAGATGGTAAAGTCAGAACGGCAGAGATCATCTCCCACACATTAACATTTCTAAGCAAAAGGGCCACTCCGGGCAGGCACCCAGGGTGGGCACTTTTTTTAACTGCCCTAAAACAGCGACGGGGGAGCATCGTTCTGAACCGGGCTGAGCCCTGAAGGGGTTCGTGGTGCTGCAGGGGCTGTGCCCGCCCCCCAACCCCCCCACGGGGGAACCCACCGATGCAGAAGTCGGGCTGCTCCGACCAGGTGGAGTTGGGGAGGCAGGTGACCACGGGGGCCTGGTCCCCGTTCCTCACGTACCCCGGGCGGCAGCGGTACCTCAGCTGGGTCCCCACGGGGTAGGATTCCTCGGGGGTCGTGGTGAGCTCCGCAAAGACGAAAGTCGGCGGCTGCGGGCAGAGCCCTGCGGGCAGAAAGGTGATGCTGGCGGGGCTCGTCCGAGCCCTTCCCCGCGCAGCCCCGCCCCAGCCCCATTTCCACGCGGGTCCACCCCGGCCCCACGCAGCCCCTGTCCCGCCGGGTCCCCGCTCACCCCAAGCGCCGGGCAGTGCCAGCAGCAGCGCCAAGAGCCAGCGCAGAGCCATGGCCGGAGCTGGGGCTGCTCCCGGAGCTGCCCCCGGTGCCAGGTCCCTCCCGGTGCCGGCTCCACGGGATGCGCAGGGATGCGGAGCGCGGCTCTGCCCGGGGCAGACGCGGATCCCGGTCGCGGCTGTTGCGCGAAGGGACTCTTCCTCGGGTTGCTGAGGAAAACGAGTGCCTCGGCTCCTCTGTGCCCCCCGGGCTGTGGGGAATTCCCGAGGCAATTCCCACACCTGTTCCGGCGGCTCCCAGGGCGCTGCCGTTTTATAGTTTAATGGGTAGGAAATGATGCCGCTTAACAAACGAGGAACAGCCAGGGTTCCTTCCCCCTCCCTTCGGCCTCTCCTGCCCCGCCCGATTCCAGGGAAGGAGTTTACCTTTGGGATGCATAACCCAACACGTAGCATGCATGACTTACCCCAAACAGCGCTGTAAACACGTGGAGTGTCTGCCTCGTGAAGGCTGCTTATTCCTGCTCCCCACACACTTGGTCCTCAACTCAAGGACAGCCTGAGGTCACCGCAGATGTGTTTTTTTTTTCTGAAGAGCACTTGTCCTCCTGCCACACCGTGTTGCACCATTCCTAGGTGTTGCAAAAGTGTCACACGAGTTGTGTGACCAGTCTATGAACTGTAGGGCTGGTTGCATTCAAAAGAGCCAGTCGGGGTCATGAACAGCACGATTTATTGAATGCAACATATGCAGTTCTTTTGGATTGCTGGTGGTAAATGGATTAAGTGCAGAATAGCTGCAGAGAGCACTAACAATACCATTGCAATCCCAAGCCTAATTTCCCGTGTCAACACTTGGCACAGCAGAGGGCACAAGACTTGCCAAAAGGAGTCTCTTCTGGGGAGGGGGAGGAGGACAAACGTGTTGATCTGTCCCTGCAATTTCCTGTCAAATTCTTCTCCTCCAGTTGGATACAAAAACAGGGTACATTTTATGCCTTATTAACCCCTACTGAGCAAAGTGCTGTGGTCAAAGCTTCCATTTTTTGTGGTTGTGTTGTACAGAATATTTCCTGGTAGGAGCTTGGTTTGTACTTGTACTTGGTTTGTACAAACCGTTTTGGAATATCAGGTGGAAGATGACTGTGAAGCTTCCACCTCATTCCATTGTTCCTCCCCGATGCCACGGCAACACAAACCTCAAGACCTCCATCAGGTGTCCATGTTTGCACCATTGCATATTGAATTTTGCACTTCCTTCACTGTTTTCTGCTTCCAGCACTGTGTCATCACTTCACTGAGAGATGAGACTGACCCTCTGTGCCAGCCAGATGAGGTTTAGGGCACGCTGGGGGGACCACCTGGCACCCCTGAACAGCCCCTGCTGCCTCCAGCCCTGCATTCCAAGGGGTGAGCAAGCAGGGACAGGGAGGGACAGCAGCCAGGGCGTGGGACAGCTCACGTGCTCAGGTGGCCATTGCCTCTCCCTCTCCTCCGAGCAGGATTGCACCTGCCAGCACAAGCCCGTGGAAATGTGCTGTGTTCCAGTTTGATAAGAGATACAACAGAAGGATCTGGGGACTGCGTGGTGCTTTTGTCCTCCCCGTGGCACTGCCCGTTTGCCACCCCCCCCGTCTGGGTGTTTTCCAGAACCCCCATCAATGCAATCTCTTGGTAAACACTGATAAAGCAGAAAGGCAAATGTTACAGCCTCTGCTTTATCAATATTATATTCCCCGTATCAAACCAAAACGAGTACGAGCTGCACACGGAGCTGAATCCTGGGAACATCCCGCTGGAGCTGCAGCCTGGTTTTTTGGGTAGAGAACATAAAACCAGTGCAGGAACACTGAGGGTCGACAGAGGGAAGGTTCCACCTGGGGAGGAGCACACACCTTCCCTGGCACTGCCCAGGGCGGGCACGGGCTCCACGCCAGCAGTGGCACCTCAGCTCCGTCGTCACAGTTCCCAGGAAAGGCTGGGCACTGCTGTGGATGCCAAGGCAACGACAGCGATTATCTGAGCTGAAGCAATCAGTGAACTCGATTACATCCGGCAAAGAATGAGGCTGCAAAATCACTTAAAGCACTCTACGAGAAGGCTGGATTAGTAAACACGAAATAAACCCCCAAGCCAGCATGCCAGTATTCCTTATTTTAGATTCCTTTTATTTACAAAACAGTTTTACTATAAATACTCTGATTTTTACACTTGCTCCCGCTCTCTAGGAAAGGAACCTCAGTAAAAAATAAGTTTAAAAAATACGAATAAATCTTGTAAGATTGTGCAAAGAGGGTGCCTATTGTGAAAGAGTTACTGAATTTTTAAAGCCTTGCTTTAAGAGCTGCAAAAATTGTTTTTTTCATACAAAAATAAACAAAGTAGGTATTAAACCAACACGGAGCTGGGTTTTGAAGTATGTTTAATTTTCCTGTTCCTTTACCAAGAAGTCATTGGTGGTAAAATCAGACCTTTGACTTCAGGTTGCCTTATTGCACTAAGAATTTCATCCCTGACAGCGGGTCAGGGAAAGGGAGGGGAAGGGGAAATTTACCCCACTCTTAAAAATTATATTTCCTTGTTAGTGTCCCTGGGAGATCAAAACCGCATGGGGACCTCTCAGCAGATACTCCTTTGTGTTTATTCTGTTGCCAGAAGAACTATTAGCACCATATTAAAAGGACTTACTCTAACAGTTACAAAATAACACAGTTTATTACTACAAATTGTGACCAGCTAATAAGGGTTTATAGTCATCGGTGATAGAGTCTGTCTACAAAACATGCTCAAAACAAAGTAATAATACCACAAAAAAAGCACAAATACAGATTCAAGCAACCTACTACCACATTATGAAGAGAAAGCAAACTCTAGTTCCTTAAAGGCATGTAATTAGCACGCAGAGCTTTAAATTTCTCACCCCATAAGCATCCTTAAAGGGGGAAGGGAAGACAGGTTCAGCCCAGCAGTTTTGATGGAAACTTCCTTGGATCTTTTCCTCATCTTAACCTCCTTTTTATACTTTTTTTTCTCGGAGTTTGCATGACTCTAGTCATAAGGGTTAGGTTTAGATAAAGTTAGCATCTATTCCTTTTCTGATGGATAGATGACAGAGGTCAAAAGGTTACCACGTTCCCCTCTTGCAGGATATCTGGAAGAGGGGCCGTGGTGTCCCCACGCCACTCCATTCTTTGGTGTATCCATGTGTTTATCCATGCACAGGGAACATCCTCAGTGTATCCTGACCTTATCAGCACCCATCAGAGCCAGGTGGCTTTTGATTTCCAGACTCTTTATTCTTTAACTTTACCTATTACTCCACACAGTGTCAGGGATTAGTGTCAGAATTCCCCTCCTCGTGCCCCGAGGACGCCGCAGCCCCGCTGGATTTTATCCTGCAACAGGGAAACAAGAAGCTTAATCAGGGTGAGCCCTCTGGCTTTGGGAGGAACGACAGGTTTGTGGTGCCGTGGCCCCCACCCCGGTGACCTGAGGGGTGTTTTGGGTCCCTACCATCGGGTGCCTGGCGCTGGCACAAGTGTGTGTGGGTTGGCACCGCACAGACGGGGCACACGTGGCAGCCGGGGCTGTGCTGAGGCACGAGGTGGGCTGGGGTGCCCTCTCCAGCCAGGGGACACACCACGGGGCTGCTCCACGTGTCGCTGTGGACGAGGGAGAGGTGCAGCTGGTCCGTGCAGGGAGAGCAGACGGGGCCCCGTGGGCTGTGGGGAGAGAGACAAGGGTGGGTGAGTCCCTGTGGGGTGGTGACAAACTGCTCCTCGCCAAAGCACGGCCTCCAGCACCCACAAAAAGCTGGTTTCCCTGACAATTTCAAAGATATTAACTTTTTCAACTCAAATAAGCAGCGATTCATGGATGCAGAACTGAAATGGCTCCTTCAGTGTTAAGGGCTAAAAGCATTCACACAACAGTGGGACATAAATGGAAAAAAAACCATAACAAGTGGAGTAAAAAGAAGTTCACACTTACTGAAGATAAAGCAAGCAGATGCACACGTCAGACCATGTTTATTTAACCAAATATTTATTTGAATTTGTCAGTGATGACTCTGTTAAGGATGTTTTGGGAGCCTGAAAGAGCATCAGATTCTCATGGGCAAGTGTCAAAAGATAAGCGAACAGAGCAAACAGGATTATCTTGCTCACCTGGTTGCTGCTCTGCCCAAACTCCTTATCTTGCCCCAAGCAAACTAACCTTGCCTAGAGGTGGGAAAAGCACTGGGCAGCAGGAGAACAGAAGCTGCAGGGTCTCCCACAGCACTCGGGCTCTTTGCTGCTTAACCAAAACCAGAGCTCCAAAGAACACAAGGCCCAGCCAGGTGAGCACAAGGAGCACAGGCTGATCCAGAGACACCCAAAGAAACCACTCAAGCACTGTCTGAATAAACCTCACCCCAGTTTCACATCCCTTTGCTTGCAAGCAGGCACCACACCACTGTGCTGACACAGAGCTGGAGGCAAGTGGAACCATCATTCATGCACTGTCAGAGTGCTTTTATATGAAGAGTTTTGAGGACACTGGGCACACACCCCGGTGCCCACTGCTCAGAGGAGCTGCCTGCACTGGCATCACCACACTCACCCCTCATCCTGCCACTCTTTGGGTGCCACAGCACTGCTGTCCAACTGTCCAACGTGGGCACGGAGCCAGTTCTCACAGATGGGACAGATGTGGTGGCTGCTGTGGAGAAGCACCATAAATGATGTGCATTGGCTGCATGGATGTGCATTCCAGGCCAGCTTGGAACAAACTGGTCTAGTAGAAGGTGTGCTCTGCCCACGGGAACTGGATGATCTTCAAGGTCCCTTCCAACCCAAACCATTCCGGGATTCCATGATAAAAACAGATTTGCTCTACTCTGAAGTGATTTTTATCCAATCCCACCATGACATCTGTGTGTTTTTAAGTGGAAGACAGACCTTTTGTGGTCCACGGGCTGCTCTGCCTCACTCCACTCTGGACCAGCTTCTTCTGCACCGTGACCCCTCTGCACATCCACAGCATTGGCAGGAGAGCTGAACACAGACAAAGAGAGAGAAGACAACCTGAGTCACTTGAATGTGTGGCTTTCCCAGAACACCTGCTGCCCGACACAGCCACCTTTTTCTAAATATCAAACACTTCCTCCTGCCGAAACTGGACTTGGAGGAACCAAATGAATTCCAACCGCAAAACCTGCTCCATCCACGTAGAGATGCTTCCTCCTCCTTGGGGAAAGTTTTGCTCCCTGTGGACTCATGCAAGGGGAGCAGGAGCAAGAGCCTGGTGGTACCTGGTGCCTGCTGGGCTTTGGCTCTCCCTGTCACCAACGCTGGGGACCGAGTAGGTGCGTGGTTTGCCGGTGCTCAGCCAGTCCTGGCAGGCGGCGCAGCCGCGGCGCGTGGGCACCGTGAGAGGGGCCAGGGCATCGTGCAGCTGCTTCCTGCAGGTGGGACACACGTGGCAACTCGTTGTGTGGCTGTGGATGAGAGAGATGGGGAGAATCATAGAATCATAGCTAGAATCACAGCTGGGTTGGAAGGGACCTCCAAGATCATCAAGTCCAACCCTTGATCCAACCCCGCTGTGGTTCCCAGCCCATGGCACTGATGCCACATCCAGTCTCATCTTAAAAACCTCCAGGGATGGAGAATCCACCACTTCCCTGGGCAGCCCATTCCAATGGCTGAGCACCCTCTCTGGAAAGAAATTCTTTCTAATGTCTAACCTAAACCTCCCCTGGCACAGCTTAAGACCATAATCCCTCAGGCTGAGCCCAGAGAGCAGCCAGTGAGCACCAAACCCTCCCGTGGAGCCGCTGGTGCCTCTCAGCAAATGGCGTTTGCATTTGAGAGCCTAAAACTTCCTGAGAACGTGTTTTACAGGTCACCAGTGAGAGCCAGGGGTACAGGCAGAAGGGTGGCACAAGCTTTTGGGCAGATGAAAAAGCAAACCTACCAAAAATAGGAATTCCATGGCATGGGCTGCTTCTTCGGGCGCATCAGTGCTTCCTTTCCCTTCACCTTGTGCTTTTGTAAATTCATGCTATAGGAGCTGGAGAGACAGAAGGGAGAAAATGTGTAGAATAAAAAGCAAATTAGCGACACAGGAAGATAGTACTAACCATGAAAATATATACTGAAGGTACAGAGCTTGAAAGGAAACATCCACTTACCCCTAGGGAAAGGTAAGATTTTCAAGGGGCAGCTTTGTGTCACTTACTGTTTTTCATTGTCTTTCTGCCTCATGATGATCCCAGCTAGGATTCCAAGGGCTACTGGGGGAACTAACAAAGAAGGGAAAAAAAAAAGCCAACCCAAAAATAAACAAATTTAATCTGTAATTTAAGTGAAATACTGCAGTTTGGGCAGCAAAATTCTCTGTGCTGGCGCTGTCTGTCAACCTCAGGGCTCCCTGTCAGCCAGATAACTGCAAAATTCTTCTCCTGCCTCTGAGCATGGAGCACAGGAACCACTGCTGAGCCTGGTGCTGAGCTTGTCCAGGGTGTGATCCTCATTTATTTAGGGTTTTTATAGCCAGCTTCCTGTTTCTTTTGTATTTTAAACGTACTCAACACTTTCAGTACTTGGTCTCTTTTCTGTGCTTCTCAAATCTCTCATCCTTCAAACTCTGCCAAGGCCTTTTAAAGCAACTTTGTCAATTAAAGAGTGACAGGATGTGCAGGTTTTGGTTAGTTTCTTTGGCATCTTTTATTTCACCCTCAATTTATTTAATGTTTTATACTAAGACAGCTGATCCATCACCCAACAGCAGAGAAACCCCTGAATCCTTTCCAGACACACTCAGGATTGGGGGGAGTGAACCCAGTCAACCATTGACTCCAAGCATTTAACAGCAAATGACAGCTTTGGGTTAGGAAAACATATTTTCAATTTTAAGCTACTTACCAATGCAACTAGGGATGAGGATACTTGCTAGGGAAGAAAATTATGAAAGGGATGTTAAAAAAACAAAGCCCAAAATGTGGTGCAGTTACAGCAATTCACAGGAGTTTTTAGTAACTGAGCTCTTACCCAGCCAGTAAGGATTCCCCTTGGAGGGTTCAGTTTGGTTTGTCTCTGCTGCAGTGCTAACTGGGGAGAGAAAAAGGAAAATCACTCAAGGTGTTATTTTATATGCTCCTCCATTTATATATAATATATATAAGAGTTCAGTGAGAGTAAACATGGCATGGGCAGGTGACTTGTGCATCCGAGGCTACAACAGCAAGAGCTGTGCAAGAGTCACACAGGGAGCTCTTGGTGACACTCCAGTCCTTGTGGACAGTCTGCTGTCCCACTTGGCTTTACTGTCCAGGTGTTGTTGGACATGAGATACAAACCCCTTCACTCCCCCACCTTTGCAGTTACTGATGCACTCCACACGTTGTCAGTCAAAATTCTGCCTGTTCCTCTTGAAGGGAAAAACGTAAAAGCACGTCCAGCTGTGGTCACAGTGTCCCTGGGCAGAGCCTGGCACCCTGCAGAGCACACAGACCCTGCTCCCCTGGGGACAAACCCCATGGAATGCCTGTCCAGGCTGGGGTGCTTCCCTTTGTGAGAGAAGGGGACTAGGAGTAATTATCTGCTCGGCAAGAACAAAGCACTGGAGAATGGGGTGATTGCCCAGCAGTGCTCACCCCTGCACTCAGGAGGAGCCCCATTCCAGACTCCAAGGACCCCGTTCTCTGTTGTACAACGGAGGGATTTGTTCCCCACGAGCTCCAGCCCGGGGTCACACGTGTAGGTGGTGACAGAGTCATACAGGAACTTCCCCGTGCTGTTGCCATCGTGCTGCCCATGGGGAATGGCTGGAGGAGGAGGACAAGAAATAGCTGTGGGAGGAAGAGAAAAGAGTTCAGGAGGTGGCCCCTGGGATGCTCTTCTCCATGATGGGAGAACTCTCCAGGCTGAGAGAGGGGGGGTTGTTCAGCCTGGAGAAGAGAAGGCTCTGGGAAGACCTTAGAGCCCCTTCCAGTGCCTAAAGGGGCTTCAAGATGCCCAGAGAGGGACTTTGGACAAAGGCATGCAGTAATTGGAGAAAGGGAAATGGCCTCAAGGTGAAGGAGGGAAGGTTTAGATTAGATACACGGAAGAAACTCTTCCCTGTGAGGGTGGGGAGGCCCTGGCACAGGTTGCCCAGAGAAGCTGTAGCTGCCCCATCCCTGGAAGTGTCCAAGGCCGGGTTGGACAGGGCTTGGAGCAACCTGGGCTAGTGGAAGGTGTCCCTGCCCAGGGCAGGACTGGACTTAGTAAAATCAACCAACAATTCAGTATTCCTGAGTTGGAATATCTGGTATTTCCAGTCAAGCACTGAACAACTTCACTCACCCTGACAAGCTGGAAGTTGGCTCCAGACAACTTCATTTCCCCGCAGGGTACAAAAGATGGAAGGTGACCCTCCCTCTAGGACGAACCTGCAGGGAGAAAAGGCACATCCCAAAGTTTGTTGCCACCAACCAAGAATATGTCACCACAGAGTTGCCAAGGACTCCACACGGGCAGAGCCCCATGTCCCAGTTCACCCACCAGCATCTCTGGCCAGGCAACTGGGATGCAGTGGGCAGCTGCTTCACACTCACCCACGGTCACAGACCACAGTGGCTTTTGCACCGAGCAGATGATCATCTGCAATAACTTTGCCGTGTTCTGGACTTGCTGGAATACCACAAGATTTCCCTGGAAAAGAGTGAGATTATCCTTAGGACTCCATGAGGTTGGGGGGAAAACCCCACAGACTTAGTATGGCAACAGCAAACCAGGAGACTGGTGGCATTTCACGTTAAATGTCATTACAAAAGAGCAATTCTAAAATACAGACGTGGCACTAGGAACACAGCGTTGGAGAAAATAAAATGACATGGAGACACTCACTCCTACACAGCTCAGGGACTTCTGACCACTTTAAGTTGTCCAGACAGGTGCTGGTGGGGAGCTGGTCTGTGATGTTCTCAAAGCCTGGGCGACAAATGTACTTCACCGTGGTATTAACAGGATAAAAATTCTGTGCTTGATCTTCCTGTGATATTTTAGCAAATGGCACATATGGAGGGCTGGGACAGCTACCTGGCAACAGAGACAACCAGAATGTCACTTACAAAGCAAAAATAACAATATTTTGCATTCTCAACTGCGTATAAACATAAAGCCAGGGGATAACAAACAAGCCTCACTAAGAATATGGATAACACGAATAGTTTTAAGCAGGTGATGGGTAATTTGTGTAATTAAACCAGAAAGGAACCTCCAAACAGATGGAGAGAGACTATTTATATGGAGTGACAGGGCAAGGGGAACAAGGCTTCACACTGAGAGAGGGCAGGGTTAGACTGGATATTAGGAGAAAGTTCTTTACTATAAGGGTGGGGAGGCCCTGGCACAGGTTGCCCAGAGAAGCTGTGGCTGCTCCATCCCTGGAAGTGTCCAAGGCCAGGTTGGACAGGGCTTGGAGCAACCTGGGCTAGTGGAAGGTGTCCCTGCCATTAGGTGGACTGAGATGAGCTTAAAGATCCCTTCTAACCCAGACCATTGTAGGATTCTATCAGAAGACGTTCCCAGATGACTACTTAATGCAAAAAGTTTTAGATGTTAAAATTTGCTCTCTTTGAATCATTCCCAAGCTATTGATCTATTTTTATTAGCACACAAATGCCAGCACGTGGCTCCAACCCCAAAGTGGGGGTGAGGAAAAAAAAGGGGCAGTAAGAGATCCTTGTCTAAGCCACTTCATCCTGCGCCGCTCCTGATGAGGAAACCCCTGAAACAGCGATTGCCAAAGCACTGAATGTTTTCACAAGCGTCTCCAAGCAAAGAAAGGGAAATACTTACGGCCACAGAACTCTGGGAGGTGGGACCACTGGGAGTTTGTGAGGCACTGGACGGTGTCGGAGAGGAAGGGGCGTTTGGTGTAACCTGTGACACAGACGTACCTCACCGTGGAGCCCTCACTGAAGCTCTGCTTGTCTTTCATGTCCTCTGTGGGCTCTGCGTGGCTGATATTTGGCAAGGGCCCACAGTCACCTGTGGCAAAACACACCAGGACTTAGTGGGGCTTCTGCTGCCTCTCTGTCTGTTCCCCGGGCAGGGCACACTCAAAGTGTGGAGGGGAGTGTGGCGCACACAGAGTGGGGCACACACACAGTGGGGCACATACACAGTGGGGCACACACACAGTGGCACAGCCTGCGGATCAGAGCATGCCTGGAACATGTGAAGCACATGATACACACACATGGAGCACATGCAAACACAGCACAGGAACCCACACAAAGCATAGGTGCACGTGGAGCACATACATGCACAGGGAGCACACACATGGACATGGAGCACATACATGGACATGGAGCACAAACATGGACAGGGAGCACTTACATGCATGTGGAGCACAAACATGCACAGGGAGCACAAACATGGACATGGAGCACA